GAGAATGAGAAGAGGACAAAGAACAAAACCCATGGACCACAGCTTTTGAGACAGCTCTCTGTACCACTTCTTTTCTACCTGAGAGTGTTTCAGGACCCATTTATGCTGTGGATTAAATAATTAGCATGTAGTGTCATCCACAGTGGACATTGTGGAGACTAAAAGGAAAACTTCCCTCACGTGGGGTGTATAGAGACACGGTGCATATCACCTGCTAAGCGAATGCCGAGCGCCTGAGCGGTGGGGCAGCAGTGCCATTTGTGGGCTGCACTCTGTTCTTAGGTTGGCAGCGGCACAAGAAGTCACACACTGCCTGCCATTTAACTTTGCATTTCCCCAGTGTGAAAATGTTATGAGCTTCCTTCTTCCTTTCAGATCCATGAGACAATAGAAACTATCAATCAGCTGAAGACCCAGCGAGAGTTCATGCTGAGCTTTGCCAGAGACCCTCAGGGTTTCATCAATGACTGGCTTCAGTCCCAGTGCCGGGACCTCAAGGTAAAGAACCTGGGACAGGTGCAAAGAGACTTAGATCCGTGAGGCATACATTTGCTCTGTTTCCGTAGCATGAGATAGAGAGCCGGGGGGAAGTGAGGGACCAGACTTTCTTTAGTGTGTTCCAGGGCCCATTTTATAATTAAGTAGGGAAATGGAGGTGGAACCATCAAGTGTTTATCTAGTACTTAACTATGTGCTGTCACTGTGCACCGTATTGGAGGCGATACAGAGTGAAAAACTTGATCTCTTTCAAAGTAGCACACATTCTGTTCGGAGAAACCATGTTACTGTGATTTAAAAAGTAGTAAATCATGTAAGACATTATTGGAACTCACCAGTACCAAAAAGGTAATACAAAGGAGAAGGGAGATTGATGAGGCTAGAATAGCTAGGGAAGGCTTCATGGAGAATTTGGGATTTGAGTTATATCCCAGAGAGGGGAGCGCCAGAAGCTCAGGCAGGAAGGTAGGAATGAGCGCAGAATGTGTGAGATGTGTCCTCAGTGCTTGCCTGTTCTGTGGTGATTGACTGCAGGTAGCCCGAGAAGAGGAGCAAGGGACAGGGGGTGCCTGAAAGGATCCCTGAACAAGGCAATGACTTGTTGACAGCAGAGGCGACTTTGGGTGTTGTTTTAGTGGTTTGCTAGGGCCGCCGTAGTAAAGTACCACAAACTGAGTGGCTTAAACAAGGGAAACGGTATTGTCTCATGGTTCTGGAGGCTAGAGTCTGAAATCAAGGTGTCAGCAGGGTTTGGTTCCTTCTGAGGGCTGGGAGGGAGAGTCTGTTCCAGGCCTCTCTCCTAGCTTGTGGTAGCTTCAGGCATTCCTTGGTTTGCAGATGGTGTTCTCCATGTGTCTTCATATCATCTTTCCTCTCTGCATGTCTGTCTCTGTGTCTAAGTTTCTTCTCTTATAAGGATCATACTGGATTAGGCCCACCCTAATGACCTTACCCTAGCTTGATCGTCTGCAGAGACCCCATTCCCAGATAAGGTCACATTCACAGGTACTGGGAGGGCTAGGATTTCAGCATCTTTTAGGGGATACAATTCAATCCATAACAGATGACAAGGAAGGAAACAAGTCTCTTCTGTGTCTTCCCCCTCCCATCTCCCTCAGACCATGACTGATGTGGTGGGTAACCCAGAGGAAGAGCGCCGAGCTGAGTTCTACTTCCAGCCTTGGGCACAGGAGGCCGTGTGCCGATACTTCTACTCCAAGGTAGGCACCTGGGGTGCACAGGAGAAACTGACAGAAGGCAGGGGGTCTGCACCCTTGATGGGGGTCAGTGGTGTTAGGTACCAGCTTCTGGTTGGTCTCACCTTCCGCTCCCTCCACTATTTTCTCCTTAGGTGCAGCAGAGGCGACAAGAATTAGAGCAAGCCCTGGGAATCCGAAATACGTAGGGCTTCTCCCACAGCCCTGATTTGGCTGCACCGATTTCTTTATTTGGGCCCTGTGCTGCCTGCCTCATAGCACCTGCCTTGGTCTTGCTTGGGGCCTTCCAGGGGATGCTGTTGGTTCTAGGACAACACCAGAATGAAGAGGGTCTCACATGATACCTGTTACCCTCTTCTTCTCCCACCCCATCCCTTCCTACCCCCAGCTTCCCTTTGCCCCACAAAGTTCCCATGTGCCTGTACCCTCCCCTGGTCTGCATAGGACCTCTAGATAGTATTAGAGAGAGAACCCGTAGTGGTAATCAGTGCATTGAATGGATTGGGCCTAAGGCCAAGTGGTCTTCAAGGGGACCAGCTACACTGATCCTGCCCTTCAGAGACCCAGGAGTTGGGAGCTTTAGCCCCTTCTCCGAGACTCAGGCCTGGGGGCACTCTATAAGCTAGTTGATCTCGGCTTTCCTGATAACAGAATCCAGTTTCCTTCCTTCCCTCCACAGGTTTGAAGCAAACTGTCCCTTCACTTGTTGCCCTCTAGCACTAGAGGAATCCTGGTTCTTGGGCTCCACTGAGCCCCAGGTCAGTCTGCAGCCCTCTGGATTGGCCTGCTGACTCAGTGCTTCTCTTACTCCCTCGTAGGGGGTCCACATCAGTATTGGAGTTTGTTCTCTTAGTATTGCTCCCTCTCACCACACCCCCTGTAGCTGCTTTTTAGGATTCCCTCCTATCTGTCCTAACCCAGGGCATTTGAGTGGGGGAATCTTGCCTTTCCCTGTCAGAGCCCCAAGGGCCCTCACCTAGGGTACTGTCATTGCCGGCAGAGGCTGTTCCTTCCTGCTGTTGCTTGGAGGTGTGACTCATTCATTCATTCCACCCTGCCTCCCCCATCCTTTCATGGAGAAACAGGCCTAAAATCAAACGGGTAAAAGCCCTGGGCCATCCCTGTCTTCCTGTCCCTTGTCTGCCCAGTTGACACCCACTGGTGACTTCTAGGGCACTGAGGAGTGAAAGCGCCTAGGGCTGGAGAACAGCTCTGAGCTGGGTTTGTGACTCTTCCCTCTCCCTGCCTCACAGGAGTGTGACTCCCCAGCCCCTGCCCTCAAAAGCTTCAGACCCCTCAGGTAGCAGCAGGACCTTGTGATCTTGGCCCCTTGCAACTGAGATGGTTTTGCATCTTTCCAGGAGAGCCTCAAATTCTTCTTCCAGGTTGTATCACCCCTGAGTTAGCATATCCCAGGCTCGCAGACTCAACACAGCAGGGTGGGAGACAGCTGGGCACAGAGGGGGAATTCCGTTCAGCATGGGCTCTAAACCCGCAGAACTGACAAAGCCCCTGCTTCCCCACCCCCTCCTCAGGCTTCTGCGAGCTCATGCCCCAGCCCTGTATCCCTGACTGTCCCACACTGGGGACAGCAGAACTTCCTCCCTGTCTTCCCCTTCCTGTCATTATCCCACCCCTCCCTTGAAAGGTTCTCCCCAGAGTGACACTGGACAGACAGCCTCTGTCCCTGGGGCTGGAACCATGAGAAGGAAGCTCAGCACTCCTACACAGTGTCCCTGAAGATAACTTTTTATTAATTGAACTACTATGTTTTTTTCATGGACCAAAATTTTTTTTGTACTGTCTCCTTATCGATGTCACCCAGTTTTAATAAAAGAATCTTCTGAAGGATGGGTCCCCCTACCTACTGACGGAGAGCTCTTCCCTGAGCTTTCTTCTTCGATACCATTAGCCATGCTCATGGTGTTTGTTCATTTTATTTGACAGATATTTATTGAGCACCTGCTGTATGCCAGCTGTGGTTCTAGGCACTGGGGATATGGTGAAAAACAAGATTTCTACCCTGGGGACCTCAGGTTCTCACCTTAGAGCTTGTTCTGTCAGCCCCAGTGCTCCAAGCAGGCCAGGTGCTGGTTGGGAGTAGTGGGCTTCATCACTGGATCTGAGAGTCCTGTCCTCAGTTCCCGTTAAGGAAGATTCTAACAAGACAGTGGCACTGCCATTCTCTCCCTTGTCCTTCTGAACTCCCCAGGGCACCTGCTGGCTCGAGGGTGCTATCCTTGGGTACCTGTGGTCCCTTACACTTGATGAACTTGAGCCTCCTCTAGAATTCTCAGGGCTCCTGTCTTCCTGCGGGCCAGCGCTGTATGAGGACTGAAGACATTTGTGGTCTGTGTGCCTGCCATTCTTTAAGGTTCCACTTTCTCAACCCTGAGTAAGATTTTAGTTCCTGAGACTGGCGTGGAAGTGCTGCTGTCATCCTCATACTATGGACAACCAAGCCTTCACTGGTAGAGTTGAGAAGACTGCTCGGGATTGGGTCCCATTAGCAGAAGCATGAAATTCTGCTGCAGTTTCCACCATGCCTGCTTCCCACCTGGTGGTTCTTTACTTTCCTCCTTTGTGCCATTACCTAGCTTGGTTCTACTCGAGAAGGGGGTTTAGAACACAGGGTGAAGGCAGCTACATTCCAAAGTTGTAGTTAAAAAATTAACTTTTGCCTCCATGCACGTGAACACTCAAGTATTGCGTATGTGCAGTCAAACCCACCAAGGATACAACCACTATTCCCAGTCTGGAATGTGGGAGTTTATCAGACTTGAGTGGGGAAAGCAGAAGAGTGTGTGTGGGTGATGATAACTTGGGAGTGGAAACAATTGATGTCAAGGACATTGAAATGGCATCTGTTTTCACCCAGGCTAATTACATGTGTAATGAATGGCTGATGAACCATTATTAATTTCAAGCAAATCTGCAGTTTGCTCTTGGGAAAAGAGCCCTAGTGGTACAGATAATTGGCCTGTGACAGGCCAATTCTGAATCTCTGCACACTCTTTATTCCTATATAAATGAACAAATTCTTTGTCTCCGTACTACTTAAAATGATCGTAGGGACAAAAAGATGGAAGCATTTAGGCAAACACAAGAGGTCATTTTATGCATAAACATCCGTTCTTTGGGGTTCTCATCCTGTGTGCCAGGGACAGAAGCATTCTTTCTCTTCCATCACCCATATTCAGTGGTCCCAGCCGGCAGCCTGGCACTGGTGCCTTTGTCGCAGTGCCAGTGCAATAACAGTGATCGTTGGGGGCTGGCTCTGTAGTAGGCATAATTTTGTTCCTAAGAGAAACAATCAACTGCTGATTCACGTATGTCCCCCTAAGGGAACTCCCTGGCCATGGGAGTAGAGTATGGTGGGCTTTTTCCCAGGCAGTCCTTAGAAGTTAGGAAACCATTTCTCCCCAGTCTTGACCTCAGGGCCACTTACCCTTACCCAGTGATTGCACACAGACTCCCCTCTGGCCCAGTGCTTATCACTGTTTGCAGCCAGCAGCAGCCCAGGGGGATGGAAACACCCACTCAGCAGTTGGCCGGGCCAGGAGGTCAGCACGTGAGCACACAGTGCTATCTGCTTTCTAGGCCAAGGTGCACAGACAGCTGGAGTGTAGGGAGCCTTTGCCCCACTCTCCACATTAGCCTAGAAACTAGAGTTCCCCCTCGTAGTTAAACAGGTTGCTGTGGGCGATGTAGAGCCCTGAACTGCGCTGTGCGTCCCTTCCATCCTCCCTCCCCCCAGAAGCACACACCCCACTTGCTCTTGATTACAGCATCTGAGACCACAAAGCTCTACAGAGGTCACAACTGCCCCAGGTCCTGCCTCCCTTCCCTTCTGGCTTCTGCAAACTAGCCACTAACCTGAAGGCGCCCCTAGTGTGGGGTTAGCCTGGAAACCCAAGAAAGAAGTGAAGGAAGCTCAGTACCTCTCAAGGACAGTGAACACTTGGGCTGCCTTCTTTTCTCTCCTATCCTCCTCCTCAAGCCCAGAGTCTGCAAAACACCTGTGGGCCACTTGGCATCAGAGCCTCCAACTTTGGGCTTTCCTGCCCCCCTTCCTGGGAAACATTCAGGTGAGGAGAGGCCCACTGGTGTGCTTTGTTTCTTGGGCCCATGGGGTCTTATCCTTGGGCTGGGTTGCCCCCAGAGCAGGCCCTTACCTCTTATGTGCTCTTATTTAAAGGGGCCACACCCACTCACCCACAGCCCTGCAGTGGGGCTAGCGTGGGGCAACACGTGACCGACCCGTCATCGCCAGAGGATGAACCCATAGAGCAGCTTTCCGGGTCCTGGGGGGGACAAGTGGGGGGCGGTTCCTACCTTGGAAAAGAAGGCATGCCTGTATCTGCTGCTGGGACTGAATACAATTTATTCCAGTGCTAGGGGACGGGAGTGGGGGGGGACCGGGCACTCGCTCCTTATCTGGGCCCGGTCTTGGCAGACCTTAAAATGAAACCATTGCGGGGAGGGAGGGGGTGAGGACCTGGGCTGGGGCCGAGGGAAGCAGCGTGCCAGCACCGTCAGCGGGCAAACCTAAGAGGAAAAGCAGGCCTGGTCTCGGCCCCATTCCTGTTCCCCACCTGTCTCTACCCTTTTCTTCCCTTTCCCTGGCCCTGCCAGACTCTGTCTCCCTGGGTACCCGCCTCCCCTCCCCTGGAGGGCGGGGCTTCGCTGCACCCACGTGTGTTGGAGTTATATGCTCCCAGCCGGCAGAGGAGCTGGGGAGAGTGGCACCCAGCTGGTGGTTCAGGCAGCGAAGCGGCACCATGGCCGGCAAGAAAGTCTGCATTGTAGGCTCTGGTAACTGGTAAGCGGCTCTGTCAAGGAGTATTGGTGGGGGGGGGGGGGGGGGGGGGGGGGGGCCCGCGGCGGGGAGGGGGGGGGGGGGGGGGGGGGGAAGGGGAGGCTCCCTCAAGTATACAGGAGGTTAGGGAGGGAGGTTTGGTGGGCAGGAGGCAGTCGGTGGGGAGGAAATGCCTCCAGCTCCTGGCCCACCCCTGTTGCTGTCTTCTGTGCCTACCCCGGCAGGACAGACAATGCCCAGACCGCTCCTGGCCCTTGCGTCTCGGGCAGCAGCACCTGTTCGCCACGGGAAGGGAGCCTCCAGAGTGCTCCCTGCCTGAAAGGCTGCCTGGGTTAGGGGGTGGGGGGGAGATCAGGAGGCTGGCCCCCTTCTCCAGCAGCAAAGTGTGAGGGAAAGGAAACTGAGTCTCCTTTCTACTGCTAGGTCAGGAGAGACGCAGCGTCATGGGGAGGGGGTGACAAGGAAGGTGGCAGGTAAATAATCCAGTGGCTTCTGTGACATCCTGAGGGGGAGCACTGTCCCCTCCCCGCCACCGTTCCTCTCTCACGCCCCCACTCCTCCACTTTCTGTGCTCCCCCTCCTGCCAGGGGCTCAGCCATCGCCAAGATTGTGGGTGGCAATGCAGCCCAGCTGGCACGCTTTGACCCACGGGTGACCATGTGGGTGTTTGAGGAAGACATCGGGGGCAGAAAGCTGACAGAGGTCATCAACACACAGCATGAGAATGTCAAATACCTGCCAGGGCACAAGTTGCCCCCCAATGTGGTGAGCCCCAACGCCCCATAAGAAGGGAGAGGGAAGTGGAGGGGGTGCTTCCTGCTGGGAGGGGGCCACTTCACGTGCCACCTGTACTTGAGAAGCATCTCAGGAGGGCTACTCCAGGCACAGGGCGTCCCTGGGCACAGCCCCCAGACTGCTCCCCTGAGCACTTCCTGGGACTGGGGAGAACCTGAATGCATCCCCCTGCATCTCCACCCCACCCCGTGGGCTCCCAGGCAGGAAAGGGACGGGGAGAGGATGAGGGAGTTGGTCTCTGTGGCAACCAAAGACAGGTTCTCTGGCCCCCAGACTTGGGGTCTGGGTAGTGCCTGCCTCGGGCTCTAACCCTGTTACTCATTCACTGGGTTATTAGTAGATGTGGAGACAGCTCCTTGGACTTAAGGTCTTTGGTCAGATCCATGTGGCTGACTCCCCACCTGGAAAGGGGGAGCAGGAAAGACAGCAGGAAGACTGGGGCTCTCCCTTCCCAGTTGGGAGCCCTAAGGAGCAGGGTGATGAAATCTTACTTGGCCTCTTCCTCTTGCCAAGCCCAGACCTCCTTTGGCCTCCCTCACTGTCCCACAGCCAAGGGCTAGGAGAGTGCTGAGAGGAGGTTTCCAGGAGTCCTCAAGAGCCCAGGACAGCTGGAACCTAGAGGGAATGATGGCTAGGCGGAAGGAATAGAAGTGTCTTGTTCCTCCAGGTTCAGCCCTTCCAGATTCAACCCCCAAACTGCCCTCCTTCTTCCCCACCAGCCTCACCCTGTCTCCTAGATCTCCTGCATGGGGCTCCACAGGGGCTAGAAGCAGTCCGTCAGGCCCATGAACACTGGTCACCCCCACAGGTGGCTGTCCCAGATGTGGTCCAGGCTGCAGTGGATGCTGACATCCTGATCTTCGTGGTACCCCATCAGTTCATCGGCAAGATCTGTGATCAGCTCAAGGGCCACCTGAAGGCAGACACCATTGGCATATCTCTTATTAAGGTGCCAGGGACACCCTCCTGTGGATGGGGATGCAGCTAACTGCTGTGGGGCTCAGGGTGGGTGAAGTGTGACAAACAGAAAAGAGCAGAAGTAGGCCAGGAGTTTTCTGAAGAGAGGAGCTGGCTTTGGGGAAGCTTGAGAAACAGATGCGGGGGGCCACTGGGAAGGGGAGGTTGGTTGGGGAGTAGATAAGAGATGAGTTTGGAGGCAGATGTCTTGGGGAGTTTAGGAGGTGTACAAGGGATGCCTAGGGGATACAAGAAGTGGGCTGGTTTGAGGAGTTGAGAAGGGAAGCTGGTTTGGAGCAGTGGCTGGGATGGAAGTTGGTTGGGGGTACTCAGGAGTGGGCTGTTTAGAGATGTGGCGGGGATACATTACCTTGGAGAAGCAGGTTGTGGAAGGAGAGTTTTCAGATGGATTCGTTTTCACATGTTATCTGCTCTCCTCACAGCTAGCTTTGGCTGCATTGGAATAGGGGAGGACCTTTGGGGAGGGACATTGATGAACAGTGAATTTGCAATGGGCAGGATTTCTAGGTGGGAAGCCCTCAGTTGGGGATAAAAGGCACCTGGCCTGAGCTCCATCCTGTGCCCAGGGGGTAGACGAGGGCCCCAACGGGCTGAAGCTCATCTCTGAAGTGATTGGGGAGCGCCTTGGCATCCCCATGAGCGTGCTGATGGGGGCCAACATTGCCAGCGAGGTGGCTGATGAGAAGTTCTGTGAGACAACCATTGGTGAGACCCCACCACCCACATAGATAATGCAACTCCAGTTACATCGCCTCCCCAGGCTATATTCCCCACCCACTTAGCCATCTTCTCCCCGTAAGGCAGGTGAAGGAAGAAGATCCCAGCATCAAAGGTGAGGGGAGTTGGGGCACCCCTACGGAAAGAGCTATAGGTCCTGCTTAGGGCAGTTGTGGGAAGAAGAGTCAAGAGTCCCTCCTTAAAGCCTTATCCCCTCCCTACTTTAGGCTGCAAGGACCTGGCCCAGGGACAGCTTCTGAAAGAGCTGATGCAGACGCCCAATTTCCGCATCACGGTGGTGCAAGAGGTGGACACAGTAGAGATCTGTGGGGCCTTAAAGGTGAGAGGGCTTCAGAGGCAGCTATGGGGTGGGGAGAAGGCCCTGAAAGAGGGCCTGGCTTAGCTGTACAAGGTTGCTGGGACTCCCCTTCCCCACCAAGTCTCATACACATGGGAAGAAGGGCAGAAGCAAGGCCAGGCTCGCTCAGGTCTGCCGATTACTTACCATCAGACATTGGGCTTCCTTCTTCCTTTCCCTTATAGCCCCTTGTAGGACATCCCTGTCCCTGGCTCCAAAGATTGGTCCAGGGGGAAGAGGAGATGCCCTGGGGGAGCACTCAGGCTAATGGGAGATAAGATGTCCAGGACACCCAGACGGATTGATGGCCAGAACTCTGGATCCTGGACAGACCTATGGATGGATATCGGGGGCATAGAACAAAATAGCCGTGGTTGGGAGGGCGAGGTAGAAGACTGGTTTTCAGGAAAAGTCCTCAAGGATGGAGTATAGGGCAGGGTTGGGGAGCCGGAAAGCACAAGCCCAGGCTAAAAGAAGGGAGTGCAGCAAGTGGGAAAACCAAGAGGTGAAAATAGTTGAGGATCCCACCCACCTTCCTTCACTTATTCAGTGAGCGTGTCATGGCTGATGGGAGGAGCATGAGGCAGGTGCTGATGGCCCCAAGTGGGGCCTGCGGGAGGGGATCCTTTCTCACCCGTGACTTCACTCTTCAAAGAATATAGTGGCCGTGGGGGCTGGCTTCTGTGATGGGCTGGGCTTTGGCGACAACACCAAGGCGGCCGTGATCCGACTGGGGCTCATGGAGATGATCGCCTTCACCAAGCTCTTCTGCGGTGGCCCTGTGTCCCCTGCCACCTTCTTGGAGAGCTGCGGTGTTGCTGATCTTATCACTACCTGCTACGGAGGGCGGAACCGCAAGGTGGCCGAGGCCTTCGCCCGCACAGGAAAGGTGGGCCCTGGGGAGAATGAAGAATGGAGGGTGGGCCCTGTAGGTGTTCAGGGAGAGGAACGTGGCTTGAGGCATCTCTTGAACACAGACATTAAGATTGTTGGGAACATTCCCAGCCTTTCCTTCCTCTTAAGACCCACCTCCTCCCAGAGTCCCAGACTCTCTGTCTCACACTGACAACCCTCCTCTCCCATTTCCATTTGCCTGTCCTGTTTTCTTCACAGTCCATTGAGCAGCTGGAGAAAGAGATGCTGAATGGGCAGAAGCTGCAGGGGCCCCAGACAGCCCGGGAGCTACACAGCATCCTCCAGCACAAGGGCCTGCTGGACAAGTAAGCGTCTGCCCCAGCCCCACTGATGGAGGGAACCACGGACAGAGGTGCTCTCCCCATTCGTCATCTTCCTGAGCCCTTCTCAGTCTGTGAAGGGGGCAGAGAGGGAAATGTTATCTTACGTTTACAGACAGAGCCTAGAGCTTGGCCAGGGTCTGGCATGCCTGCTGTCCCCCAGCTCGTTCGTCGTCTTTGAATTCTTTCCAGCCTAGTGCTCTTTATACCACATTGCTTGGGCCCCTCTGCGTGGCCGCTCTCTGTCCTTTCCTCCTTGTCCTCTGCTATGGGGGTGGACAGGAATAAGCTCCTCTGACTGTTCTGCCTCTTTGTCCATCACCCGCAGTCTAAGCTGCTCCCCCAAGGCCAACCCTTTTGTTCCGTGAATCCTGTCCTGGGTGCTGAGGTGTGAGGAAAAGGAAAGCCTCTGCTTCAAGGTGCTCCTTTTCAGGGAGCACAAGACAGCGGGGGTGATGGGCTGATCAGAGCAGAACTCGGCTGATCTGAGAAAGAATCCTAGAGCAAGAGAGTATGAAGCAGGCTCAGAAGATCTGCTCGCGGCTGGTCAGGGTAAAGCCTCCTGGTAAAGGGAGCAGCCTGAGCAACAGGTGGGGAAGAAGGAGACTGGCATTTATTGAGCACCTTCACATAATTCATAATCACTTCTTCACTACTTCGTTATATTGACCCCGTTTCACAGCTGATGATACTGAGGCTTGCCTAATTGGAACAAAAAGTTCATGCCAGGGAATCACGGAGGCGAGTTCAATACGATAGGGAGCAGGGGGATAAAAACCTGACCCTAAACCCCAGGGCTAGGAAATACACATTCTCAGCGATGGGAAATTGAGAGCCAGAGTCCGCCTGAGCTCGAAGGCGGGAGAGTAGGGAGTGGAGGGTTAGGGGGTTTGCCTGGAGGCCAAGCTGGTTCTGTCCTTCCCCATTCTAGGTTCCCTCTGTTCATGGCTGTGTACAAGGTATGCTACGAGAACCAGCCAGTAGGTGAATTCATCCGCTGCCTGCAGAATCATCCAGAACATATGTGAGCAGGGCTGGGGCCCAGGCCAGGCAGCCTCTTTACCCCAGCGGAGACAGGCAGAAGCTTGGGGTGCCTGGCCACCACGATCTCTGGGACTCCCCACACAGCAGCGTCTTCTCAGCTTTTCACTGGAGGACAGGTGCCTGTGGGCCCGGCCACCTGCCTGGAGATCTTGAAGCACAAGCAGCCCGCAGCCTCCTGCCACCTCATCGCACCAGAAATGGAGTTGCCTAGTCCCTCTCCATATGTGGGGCTTTCTCCCTGTCCTCTGGGAGGGGTAGAATCAGCCCCAGTGCTGCCTGCTTTGGGTATGTGGGGGGAGGAGGGGAGGGGAGGGAGGCAAGGCAAAGAGGCCTCACAAAGACCAGGACTCCTGTCCCCAAGCCCAGTTAATCGCTAAAGTACCTCAGCTGCAAGAGGGATGAGGCAAGGGCTGCAGGGAGGGGTCTGGGCTTTTGGGCTGACGTAGACCTCTGCCAGGCCCCACATGGCATCATTGGATCTCTGTTTGTTCGCAAAATACAACCCCCTTCTAGCTTCTCCTAGAAACCTCAGCTTCTTCTGAGGTTTCCTCAGAAACCTCTGGTCATCCCCTTCCCCCTCCCCCAGGCTGCCTGGCACCAGAGTTGCTGCCACGCTGGCATCTCTGGCCATGGGGCTTGTCATTCTCTCTTGGGACTTCCCAGTTCCTAGTTCTTTGCCAGCTCCTCCCCACCATGTGTGACCTTTCCAAGGCTCTCTCACCCTCCCTGCCAGCACCCTTTCTGGGGAGCAGAACTTAATCTGCTGACAGAGCTACACCTCTTCACAGCAGGCTCAGATCACTCTACTCCCTGTGACCTTTGTAATTGCCCTGCCTCCCTTCTCAGGAGCTCTAGTGGGGGGAGGTGTCAGCTGGGTCCCTCCTGCTGCTATCTCCCCAGGACATCTTGGATCCACCCCTTACCTCCTAAACCCTGTCCCTAGTTCTCAGCTACCCCCAGAGCAGCCAGGGCAGCTAACCAGTTCCTGTATCTGCAGGCCAGGGGGCCAGAGAGTGGGTAAGGGAGGATGAGCAGGTCCCCATCTCTGTGGTCTGAATTCCAAGGCCGGCTCTCCTTTGTCACCTGAAGGCCTTCTCATGAGGTATTGACTACTTCAGCACCTCAGGAGCTGGGAAACTCGTGGAGGAGGAAAAAAATTGAAGCCTCTGTACCAGCTGGGGTGAGGGAAGAACAGGAAGGGGAGGAGGGAGAGGAGTGTGCTTTGCAGTGGCCTTGCTCCAGGATGGAATGGCAGCCGGAGAATGTCACCGGTCAGCAGCTTGGACCCCTGGCTATAAATAGAGGCCGAGGGCTCCTGTCACATCCAGCAGAGGGTCTCAGCTTCCTGTGTGGCAGCATCTGGCACGCTGTGGCTCTGGCCAGCATTATGTTAACCCTCCCTTACTCCTGGACAAACCAGGGAGGCAGGCTCCTCTCAGCCCCTAGCCCCTGAGAAGTCACTCTTACCAGTGAAGGGCGGAGCTGCCTGGATCAGGCAGCGAGAGTGAGGGGCACAGTCACCCCAGATCTGGCTGGGCTCAGGAGCTGCTTCCCCAGGAGGTCAAAGTCGGGGCAGAAAGACAGCTCCCTTCCCTAGGCTGCAGCTGCGACCCTCTTAGATAGTCAAAAACCTTTGCCTACTTTTTTTTTTTTTTTTTGCTGTACGCGGGCCTCTCACTGTTGTGGCCTCTCCCGTTGCGGAGCACAGGCTCCGGACACGCAGGCTCAGCGGCCATGGCCCACGGGCCCAGCCGCTCCGCGGCATGTGGGATCCTCCCGGACCGGGGCACAAACCCGTGTCCCCTGCATCGGCAGGCGGACTCTCAACCACTGCGCCACCAGGGAAGCCCCCCTTTGCCTACTTTTGCTCACTCCACAATTAACTGAATCTGAGGCTTTCGAACCAGGCCTACTTGTCTACCTAATAAAGCGCGGTTTTTGCAGAAACAAATTAGGGAAGGGCGCTTAAGTGCATGTGGTAGGGTGGGGTGTATGCAGTGGGGTGTATCACTGCATGTACATGTTTTCACTCATGCCGGAGGAAAAACGAAAAAAGGAAAAGAAATCCTTCCTCGACCATCCCAGCCACTCCCGGCCCCTTGCAGGGGTGCCCACGCAGTCCCCCTTCCCCCAAATGGCTCCCCCTCCCAACCCCTTCCCGGCGCTTCTTTGGGGCTTTATCAAGCCGCCTGCAAGCGGGGAGGTCACATACGGGACAGAAACATTACGGAGATTCGACCCTCGCGCCTACTCCGTGGCCATGGCCAAACCTGCCGCAGTCCTCGGCGGTCCAGGCCTCGCAGGGCGGGTCGGGTTCCTGAGCTCAGCTGAAGGCCTGCCCAGGGTAAGAGGGCAGCTCCAGGCTGTAGGGGCCGCGCAGCCCCCTCCAGACGGCGGACTCCGAGAGAACCCACCCAGCTACCGGAGACGTCACCGCGCCGCAGGCTGGGGATTGGCCGGCTCTCTTCTGTGGTGACTGAGTATCCTAAAAGTTCCCGTTCTAGAGTTTGGGTCGCCAAAGACCCTTTCTCAACGGAGAATGACTACAACCCCCAGAAACCAACGGGCCTCTCCGAGAGGAAGGCTCGTCTGAGGATGCGTAGTAAGGGCGGCTGACCCGGAAGCCGGATGTTCAAAGGCAGCAACCAGTCGGAGCTGCAGCCGGCGAGGGCTCTCGTCTCGGTGGGCGGGGTTATGCTGCGTCTGGCGCGAGGGGCCGTACGTCGCGTCGGGAGGGGAATCCTAGAGCTTTAGCGGAGCGAGGGGGTGAGAGAAAGGGTGGCGTTCCGCACCGATAGCGCCTCAGCGTTCAGGGTTGTCCCTGGGCGGTACCCTCACTCTTCTGGACCCGGGTGCTGCTTCCGGCTGAGCTAGGAGGTCGCGCAGGCAGGAGGCCTCCGTCGGAAGGGAGGGAGCGGCAGCATCCAGGTACGCCGTCTGCCAGGCCCGAGCCTGGGCCGCCTGTCCGCAGAGGCGCGCCCGCTCGGGCCGGCCTTTGCTTTCCGCATCCTCCCACGCCCAGTCTTCGGGCTTCGGCGCCCTTGAGGTTACCGCGTACCCTGTGCCGCGATCTGCGCCGCTTCCAGCCCAGCAAGCTCCTTGCGGCCGTAGGTTCCTGTCACACCGTGACTGCCATCGCGCGTCTCGGCCCTCCCTCCACGCTCTGACTCCAGTAGCTCTGACCCTTCCTTGTCTTGCAGTCCGCTGACTGCAAGCGCCCTGAAATGCAGCTTTCCCAGGCACCCTTCCTGCTTATCGATTAACTGGATCCGCTCCTTTGCTGCTTTCAATTCCTGGAATGCTCTCCCCCTCCCTCTTCTATACCGGTGTAAATCCTGCCCACCCTTCTAAAACGACAGCTGCCCACCCCCCCCCCCCCCCGTCCCCACCTTTCTGCTAACTTTCCTTGAGCCTCCACCTTGTCTCTGAACTCTCAAAACGCCTCTTCTCTTCTGGTCACCGGCGTCTTCCACGTCGTCTAACAGAATTTTGGGTGCATAGCTTATCCCCATCAGACCATAAGCTCCTTTGAGACACAAGCCATATTCTCTGCAGCCTTTATAGCACGAGTAAAAGGTAGACAGATAAGTGAGTAAATCTAAGCTGAGGTGGATGGATCCATTTGAGGAAATGAGTTTTCCAGGGGAGACACCTGAGCCTTGAGGTCCTCTTACGTTTAGGGGGCAGAAAAAGAGAAAAGAGCCACAATCTGAAAAGGTTTTTGCAGATTGCACCTCTATGTCATTTCCATTATGGTTCTTGTTTTCTTTTTCCTGTTTTTCTGAAACCTTCAGTCTAACCCCATAAAGACCCAGCCTTGAGCTTTATTGAGAAAATGGATGTCCCTCAGATGAGAATGTTCTCCTGCTAACCTCAAAAGTTTTCTTCATTTCCAAGGTTAATCCTTCTACCTGGGCTTCTAATTTCATCTTTTCCTGGGCCATCCTAGATTTTGTTCCATCCCATCCACCTCACTTTTATCCTCAGTTTAGCCACGTTTCTTCTCCTCTAAAACATATTCAAATCTCCTTATCAATAAGCAAAACAAAACTAGAATTTACTTGACCTTGTTACCTTTTCAGGCTGCTGCCCTATCACTCCTGTTCGCTTAACCAGCAAATCACAAGAATATCAATTCTTATCTTTGGGGTGAGAGGGAGTTATGATCCTTCTAAAAATCTGTTTTTCTGCGTCCTAGAAAAAATGCATAGACACGTGAACCTCGCGGGACGGGGTTCATGGGGCCTGCTGGGGCTCTGGCTAAGAATCCATGCTTTTTACTTAATGCCTGTTCCAATTTAGTGCATTAAATTGACTTCTGTCCTAGGTTTACCTGTGACCTGGTCACCTGTTCCCATCCAGTGATCCCATCTGACCAGTTTTCATGGCACTTAACTTTACAGTAGTGTTTCCCAATTTTTATTCTGGCCCAGTACACCCAAAGATACAGCATACTTCTGTCAGTGGTAGTGACTTGATACAGCAGTGATTTTCAACCACTGTTGTAGTTAAATGAAAATGCATCCCAGATGTTTCTGGAATTTCCTACCTGTTTTCTTTCCGTAATTGTTTTCTTTCTTCAAACTGGCGTTCCCTTGGCCTCTTTCTCTTGGGTTTTATCGTCTGTTTCAGTGACACTTGTTACTTCCATATGTATCCGTAGCCTAGCCTCTCTCCTAGGATTTGTTCCAAATTTGCATATCCCTGTGCCTGACAGACATCATCACATGAATATTGTATTGAGCATCTTTTCTTTCTTGTTTTTTTTTGGGGGGGGGGCTGCGTTCGGTCTTCGTTGCTGCGCGTGGGCTTCCTCTTGTTGCAGAGAGCGGGGGCTACTCTTTGTTGCAGCATGCGGGCTTCTCATTGCGGTGGCTTCTCATGTTGCGGAGCACGGGCTCTAGGCGCGTGGGGCTCAGTGGTTGCGGCTCGCGGGCTCTAGAGCGCAGGCTCAGTAGTTGTGGCACATGGGCTTAGCTGCTCCGTGGCATGTGGGGTCTTCCCGGATCAGGGATGGAACCCGTGTCCCCTGCATTGGCAGGCGGATTCTTAACCACTGCGCCACCAGGGAAGTCCCTTTATTGAGCATCTTAACTTTAACATGTCCAGTTCATGATCTTCTTGACTGATGCTTATTGACACCACCATCCCCATACACACATAGTGACACACACCTGTTTCTTCTTTCTTCTGTTAACAGTATCCCACTCCATAAAGTTTCCTCAGTTGTTAACTTGGAGATATTTTCAGCTTTGCCCTAGCCCATTCAGTTAATAAGCCTTGTTCTACTTCTAGAATAACTTCTTCATCTGTCTTCTCTTTTTCCACTGCCCTGCCTTAGCTCAGGATCTGTGAAAAGTTTTTGTTAATTTGAAAATAGGAGAAATCTCAGGTTGGATTAGACAAGTGAGGAAAATGAGGTTCTAGAAAAATTTCATCTGTCAGTAGATCTGTCACTTTTCTAGGCAAGATGTACTATCCTGTCCTTCTTCTTCCAGCCCTGAGAAGAGGTGGTCCTATAACTGGTTAGCATCTGGCCAGGGTAATGGGGGATAGGAGGAGAAAGAATAAGTGAGGGGGAGGTTGAAGGCTGCAGGTCTCTTTCCTGGGAGCTTGTTTATTACCTTAATGTCCTGCTCTGTATGTGTGTTCTTTTTGTTTTTTTTAAAATAAATTTATTTATTTATTTTTGGCTGCGTTGGGGTTCTTCGTTGCTGCACCCGGGCTTTCTCTAGTTGCCGTGAGCAGGGGCTACTCTTTGTTGCGGTGCGAGGGCTTCTTGTTGCGGAGCACGGGCTCTAGGCACGCGGGCTCTAGAGTGCAGGCTCAGTAGTTGTGGCACACGGGCTTAGTTGCTCCGTGGCACGTGTGTGTTTTCTTACTGTCTCACAGCTTGGGGTCCTTTCAAACCCTAGATAACCTGAATACAACCCTTTCTCATCTTGTCCCTGTGCCATTTGGTTTTCTTTCTCTGACCTTATTTAATGTCACTTTCAATAGTCACTTGGAATTATGATTTAAGGAAGCTGTGCCTCAGTTCATGGTGGGATCTACCCTCAGGGGCTGGCTCAAAGGCAGTGTTCAGCCCATGGGACTTACTCTGAGAAGCACTTAGATGTCACACCCTACCCCTGACCCCCTCAACCAGCTAACCTGAACTTTTCTCCTTTCATATTCTTGACTTTTAAGAAAACTATTCTCACTAACTTCAGTCAGTCTTTTAATTTTAATTCCCTCAACAGAGAGGAGGCTGAGAATATACATTCATAGTCCCAAATTGAGGAACGTTTTGTTCAAGATGAGAGACTGCCATTCTAAACTTTCTCTTGTTCCCTGGCTCAGAATGTCCAGGGAAATGTCCAGGGAACAGTTAAATTGGAAGTAATTTATCTCATGCAAATGTGAGTTAATTTGCTGGGGACACAGTAAGTTTTGTTTTAGCCCTTGGGATAGGTTCTTGGTTTTATGTTTGGAATTCAAGATTAATGCTGTAGAAGGTTATGTCTAATTGAAATAACATAAACATACTGTTGGCACTATTTCAAGTATATTATGGCTTAAACAGATGCTTGAAGACTAACCTGGGAACCTGAGCACCATAAATAAGATGGTTTTATGGGAAAACAAATTGGATATTGCCCAGAAGGCTCCCATTCGATCCTCCTACAGAGAATAATTCACTGCTAATGTTTAATCTCTGGCTACTTCAATAAATTCCCTACTAGCCAGAAAAACTGATGTATGCCTAAAGTAATATACCAATTAAGAACATTTCTGGGTGGTCCATACCAGTCATGTCTTTCCATAAACATGGAGGGTCAGGTGTTAGCTGTAATGTCATTCAGATACACCTGGTTCCAGCTGTGTTTCTGTATCTTGTATGCAGACTTTATTTGCCCTTTTGAATCTTAAGAGTTCCCAAACAATATCTTCCAGTATAAGACTGCATATGTCTAGGGCCATTCAGAATAGAGTGCAGACAAACTGAGAAGTTATAGAATGGCCTTAAACAGGTAAGTGGGCTGGGCAGATGAGGCCTTATCCTTGGGTCTAAATCTAGTCTGTCTTTGTAGGGGACAACATGCCAACTGCCAAGCAACTAGCCGACATTGGCTACAAGACCTTCTCCACCTCCATGATGCTCCTCACTGTTTACGGGGGCTACCTCTGCAGTGCCCGAGTCTACCGCTATTTCCAGCGGCGCAGCTCCCAGCGCCAGGCTGCAGAACAACAGAAGACCTCAGGAGTCCCATAGAACTGGGGGGCTTTTTTCCTTGAGCAGAGAGACCTGAGGCATGTTGTGGAAAGACCTCACCTGCAATCATTTCTGAGTCAAGAGGATCAGGGCCTTAATGGTTTTCGAACTCTGCTGGGAAAAAGTGCCCATGTTTTCTCTGGTACAGTCAGTTTGGAGAGGCTATTGAATCATAACAGGAATGGGAGGGTGAGGCACACCTACAGACATTAAATATTTTGCCATGTCTGTGTCTTGGTGTTTTTGTTTACTTGAACAGGGTATGGACTACAGAGGTGGGGTCTTGACTACCAGTTTTCTAGTCACAGACTGGATTTCCATATCCTGAGCTCTTAGCACCCATGAAGTAGGGGATATACAGTTCTAGGAGTAGTAATCTCAGCTCTCCTGATCTCAGAGAATAGACTGTCCCAGCATCTGTATAAATCTCCTGAGAAGACTCTGTAAAGACCAAAGCTCTTTTGTGGTCAGTGACCATTCCTGGACCAATTAAACGGTGTCCAGGTAATGGAGTTCTCTGGCCAGCTTGGCCACATGTGCACTTCTGAGCCAAGGAGGCAGAGGCCCTTGTTTAACAGCTGTTAACATTGCACAAAGTGGAGGCAGATAGTTCTTAAAATGTGAAGGGCTTTTGGGCAGCCTACAGTAAGGCAGTCCATCTCCTTAAGCATAGTGGGTATAGTATTAGCATCAGGGTTGATTTCTCACTGTGCCACTGCACAAGAATCTACCTGCAGTTCTGATTGCAGAGTTGTGAAGAGGATTTGAAAGAAAACGATGCATTCAAGGTAAAATCCAACTATGAAGAGATATTCTTGCCATCATTTTTTTTTTTGGCCACGCGGCATGTGGAATCTTACTTTGAACCCGTGCCCCCTGCAGCGGAAGCCCAGAGTCTTAACCACTAGACCGCCAGGGAAGTCCCACCACCATTTCATTTTGAGCTTTGAGGCTTGCTTGTTCACGTCATTCTTGGTGATCGCCCAAAATGTCAACCCCTTTGGACACCTGTCCTCTCTCATGTACATACTGCTCTGACCTTTGTCCCCCATTCCTAAACCTTTCACCTGAAGGCCCTCTTCCATGATTTAAAAACTCAGCATTCCTATATCCTCAATTCATTTACTCCCATCCTCTCTTGATGTGTTAACCAAGGACTCCACTGCCTTCTCTGCTTTCTCATTTGCCTGTACAGACAGTAAAGTGACCATTCTCTCAGCTCCCCGTGCCACTTTCAAACAGTGTAAAATCAGTCCTTTTTGAGGAGCTTTCTTATATTCTCATTTTCACTGTATTCGAGAACTTGAATACTTCAACTCTTTGGATTCCTTTTTTTCCTTCCAGTCTTTCACCCCCTTTTTGATCTAAACTGCTTCCCTGTCCAGCCTGTGCCCACAGCTGAGCACCCGAACTGCTGCCCTGCCTCCAGCCTTACCCTTCTCAACCCCAGACCTTGCTCCATTAGTTATCTAACTCACCCTCTTCCTTCTTCGCAGTACATAAACTTGCTTAAGTGGTAGTTTCTAAGTTAGAAGATTGGTCTGGGATTAAATGAGACAATTCATATTAATACTCCGGTACCTGACAAGCAATAAATGTCAGCTATTAACACCTGCTGCTGACCTCCACATTTGTATCTTCCAGGTTGACCTTTGGAGCTTCAGATATATCCAGTTGCTTGCTATATCCACTCAAATCCTATAGTCCTCTCTAACTTGTCCACGACTAATAGCATTCCTTCATATCTCCCGGACCTACTTGTTTTTTTCCCCTTATTTTCACTATCATTTAAGTCAGGATTATGGGAGTCTCATTACACTATTCTCTGTACCCTACTCCCAACCAAGTAACTGTCTTATTAATTTCTACCATTTAAACATCCATTCAGTCAGTTCTACCCTTGTCATTTCTTGCTTATACTTTTGCAGGAGCCTTTTAGGGGTCTTAGTTCCAATCTTGACCTCATATTTGCCACATTGCTGTCAGAGACATCTATTTGGAACAGATTCGATTATGGCATTCTGCTTTGGATCCCCTCTGAAGCTCAACCATAGACAATAGGTTAAGAATCCCTGACCTGTAAGGTCCAGTCCAGACTCCTTGGTATGGTGTATGAGGTCCTTAAGACTTGACCCACCTTATGTTCCTACCTCACCCTTTGTGTTCTGTAAAATCAAATGACCTGTGTGGTTGCACGTTGTTTCTTGTCTCCATGCCTGTTCTTTCTTTCTCTCTAAATGGAACATCCTTTCTATCCTCTTTTTCCTAAAAGGTTTCTCTGACTGACTCTTCACGCTCCCATGCTGGGCCAAGTATCTATAGAAGACACCACTTTTTCTCTAAAAAAATCTTTAAAAGCACAGGTATCTAAGACAGTTTTGAAAAGAAACAAAGAAGATGGGTTGGGGTTACCAGATATCAAGACATAGTAGAAAGCTAATAGTAATCTAAATGTTGTACTAGTGCAGGAGCAGACAAACAGATCAATGGCACAGAATAATAAACTCAGACACAGATCAGTGTATCTGTGAGAGATTGAATATGATAGAGGATACATCACAAACCCATGGGGAAATTCATATTCTATGTTGCTATGGATACATATGTGATTATAAAAGTATAAAAAATAGATTGAAAGGACAATAGTAGTCGTTACATTGGGGATGAGGTGAGGTGTAAGAGGGCAGAGGTTATAGGGGGTCTTAAATGGAAACTGTTTCCTCTACTCACAACACTTCTACCACCAAATATGTTTTTCCCACACCAAACAATTCTCCAACTCTCCAGACACCAACTATGTCCTGCGGTTCAGTTCTGCCACTAAGCTACGTGGAGTTAGGGCAGACACCACAGGTTAAGGGCTCAGTCATTCACAAGTAGTGGGGTCCCCAGGTTACCCACACTTTGCCTGACAGCTACAGATCCGTTCCCACGACCTCCTCCTCAGGTTTGCTGTGATGGCTCACGTGACTGAACTCAGAGAAACTATTTATTATTACTAGTTTATTATAAAGGATACCACTCAGGAACAACCAAATGGAAGAGATGCATAGGGCCCATCCCTGTATCAGCATCTCTATGTGTTCCACCCAGAAGCTCTCTGAACCTCACTGTTTAGAGTTTTAATGGAGGTTCCATTATATAAGCATGATTAAATCATCAGCCATTCAATGATTAACCCAATCCCCAGCACCTCTCCCCTCCCAGGAGATAGGGAATGTGGGGCTGAAAGTTCTAGCCGCCTAATCTGCCTTGTCTTGTTCCTCTGGCAACCAGCTCCCAACCTGAAACTATCTAGGGGCCCACCAAGAGTAACCTCATTAGCAAATAAAAAGATATATCACTCTGGAGATTCCCAAGGGTCTTAGAAGCTCTGTGCCAAGAACCTGGGACTAAGACCAATTATATATTTATTATATCACAATGTCACAGGTCTCTAATTTTTTATTTCTTTTAAAAATAAGATTTGAAGTAAGACAAAATGTTAGAGGTATTAATTTGGGGTATTGGAAATATGAGAGCATACAGCATTCTTAATGTTTTTCTCTTTTTTTTTTTCCAATTTCTCAAAAAGATGAGGGGAGAAAAAATACTTTTGATAGCTTCCTATTATTTACTACAGTAGTTCTCAGCAGAAGTGGCACCCCACACACACAACAGAGGTGAAAGTGTTTTGATTGTCACAATGATTGGGAAGCATCTCTGGCGTCTGGTAGGTGGAGGCCAAGGATGCCAGAATTCTCACAATGTCTGGGATAGTCTTATACAACATACTGTCCCAAGTCCTGCACAACTATCAAATGTCCCTATAAATATTCAAGTGAAAAAATTTATAATTAGCTGAGCCTATAACCTCTTTTACCTATAAATATGAAGTATTTTTTGTACAGTTTTTAGTGTACTCTGAATCCTCTAGGCATGCAATTACTGTATAAATGGAGGGGAGATTGTAGTGTAGTTTATTTAGAACTTTTGTTCACCATTTCAAAAAACCATGCCATTGATGGCAGAGTCTGTTCCTGGCATTTGAATCTCTGACACAACACGATAGTATCAGTCTGCATTTGTAGCCACTGTATTCATGGTGAATGTACAGAAGTGCAAGCATCTGAGTGCTAATATAACTATGCCCAATATTTATATATGGAAATAATTTTATTATAATTCTTAAAACATATCCTTTATATTACTATTAGAACATTATGGTGATTTTTAAAAATTATGTGTACAGTAGATAAATGTTAATTGCATTTAAGGATAGTAAAGGGAGTGTTACAAATATTTGTAACCACCTGGTTTAGAAATAATCCATTCATATTTGGTCAGCTTTTGCTATGGTGTTGAGGTGATGGTTAATTTTGTTTCAACTTGGCTAGGCTATGGTGCCCAGTTGTTTCGTCAAACATCAGTCTGCATGTTGCTTTGAAGGTATTTTTTAGGTGTAATTAACATATCAGCCAACTTGGAGTAAAGCACATTGTCCTCCATAATATGGATGGGCCTCACCCAATCAGTTGAGGCCTTAAAAGCAAAGACAGAGTTCACAAAGAAGGAATTCGGCATTAAGACTGTAACATAGAACCCCTACCTGAGTTTCCAGCCTGTGGATCTTGGACTGCAACAACTCTTCACTGCATTTTCAGCCTGCCGGCCTGCTCTAAATTTCAGACCTCCCAGTCCCTACAACTGTGTTAGCCAATTCCCTGAAATAAATCAGTCTCTCTTGCCCTCACTCTTATTCTCTCTCTAATGTATTGGTTCTGATTCTCTGGAGGACTCTAATAGAGTAGATAATACGTAACATGCCAATATATATCCGTCCAGTCTTACTCCCTGCCTAGGTTCAGTCCTTTCCTACCTCATTTTCACTTGGAGCACCTACTGTCATTTCAAAAAAGCTTGTTAAAACCTAAACTCAAGCAATTGTTTAGTATTTACTGAGCATGAATATTTAATAAAGAAGAATAGACTTATTTGCTGTCAAATTAAGATGAAGAAATATAATTAAGTTCATCGGTTATTACACTAAATATCAACAGACTGAATTCTCCCATTAAAAGACAAAATCTAATAGACTGGGCTAAGAAAGCAAATCCAAGGTATATATAGTTTCTAATAAACACACTCACTAATAAAGAGAAGTTGAAAATAGATGGGTAAGACATACCAGAAATGCAAACGAATGTAAAGCAAGAATGGTAATATTAAGAAAGGCTAACAAACACTAAATGG